TGTCTAATCATTTGTGCATAGATAATGGTGATACAACAGTAATATAGGTGCACATCCCAAACTCTAGATAACCAAAGCTTGGCAGCTGATTTCTCCTTTGACCTAGCCTTAACAGCTCAGTGGGGGGGGGGAACATGCTGGTCACATTAAACAACAAAATAAATCCTACATCTCCGTCACTCCATCCATCATCAGTATCAGAGAATACCAAACTGTTATGGCAGCTTGGTATTATGAATTGTCTCTGATTACTTTCTTCATCACCTGTCTCCTGTAAAAACAAGAGAAAATGAAAAATGTCAAATTTTGAGTGGAACACAATTCAGTGAATGATACAGGTTAGATGTTACCTCTCCATACTATGGTATGTTGTTGGGCCAAGAAAAGCCCTCAACATTTTTTTTAAATCATTTCACCTCAAGCAAGGAGATAATGCTACTAAAATATGTTCTTTTTTTATTTAAAAATAATGATGATACTATTAAGGATAATTATTTGTAAATGGAGTCACTTTAACTCTGATTCCTTGACATTTTGAAGAAATAAAATTGATTTCCTCAATTCACAAAGTTTTGGAGATATTTTAAACTGAATTTAAAATGAAAATTTTTAAATTCACAAAATTTTTGTTACTTTAAACTCAATATAAATTAACTTTTAAAATTATTAATTTTTTCAATTATTTTAAAATTTGAATTTTTAACTGTTCCCTCCTCATCCAAACACAAATCCCAATTCTGGATGTTCAAGCACCAGATGAAGGGAAAATTTTCAATCCCGGGATCATCCTGATTCCAAAAAGGTATATGTCTATGTAGAGCAAGTGTAGCCCAAGTTAAATGGGTTTCAGACACACAGGTGGACAGTCAGAATTTGCCATTCATTTACTTAGATTTCTATTGTATAATGTAAATCATAACTTGAGTGTTAAACAGTCTGTTTTTCAAATATTTCTTCTACATTAATAACTTAGCATAGATTTGTGCTAACTAAAATAACATGCAGGCATTGCAAGCGCTGAGTAAATCTAAGAGACACAGATGTGAAAACGAGATAAATCAAACTTTTAGTTTCAAAATTTGAGTTAGAACAAAATTCATGTTCTTACGAGAGTTGTGCAGGTAGAGTTGAGCTTATAATTAGCATCAAAATTGGTAATCACACTTTCAACTATGAACTGCATAGTCAGATATTTTAGTAATAAAAGAAACTACTAACTTTTGTTCAGATCAACTTGATTCTTTGCGTAATGAAACAAAAAAAAATGACAGAAACAATATCCATTGTATAATGGCACTGTATGTCCAAATCAACCCAAAGAGAGTAGATTGTTATTTTCATCAAACAACAGAGCAGCCAGAAGAAAGTTTCTTTTCCAACCAGTCAACTAAAGAGGCAGCAGCAAATTTGTAATTTTAACACATTGTCAAATGATTCTCAATTTTTGAACAGAATTGATTCTCAATTTGTAATATGGAAACAACTTAAGGAATTGTGTTTGAATTCCTTGCTGCCCACTAATCAAGCATAGCAGATTTTCAGTTACAGTGTTGAGAGTTAATTGGAGCACTGGTCTTTTAATATGTCTATCATGCATGAGAATACCAGTTCAAAAAAATACATATCCATTCTTCAGGAGATATTTCTGCTAATATCTGCTGATGGTTATTTAAATAAAACATATCCATCATAGAAAGGAATACTGTATGCTTTACAGCAAAAGAGACAAGAATGGCATATCTAAAAAAAGTATTAAGTAACTTTTAAGTAAGGAGGAGGCATGGTGTAGTAATGAATTGCAGCTCAGATTGAAGAATCAGAGAGCCAAGTTTGAATTCCAGTCAAATCCATTACATTCATTTATGTGCTAATACCCTTGGGAAAGGTATGAATCCTCTTCTTCTCCCACCAGCTATGGGTAAATAGCAGGACAGACCAGGTTCTAAAGTCTTGGATGGCAACTGGTCTACCATAGAAAGAAATGGCAACCTACTGTAAGGGGTGGGGGTGGGGGGAAACCTGCCTCATCAGTCATGTATCGAAAGAAACATGATCGCCTAAGCGTGTATCACTCATGGCACATAACTGACTGATTGAAGTAACTTTTACAGATAAGTTTGTCTAAATTCAATTTTCTAAAACTTCTTATAGCACATGTAAATTCCTAATAGGCTTTATTGCTTATGATGAAACTGTATGTGAAGGATTTATATTACATATTCATAAAACATATTTAAACATCAGGATTTACCCTCTCTTTATATTGGGCTGGAATAAGCCTGTAGTGTTTTTCAATGGGTGGTATTTTGACATGTATTTAATTTCACATGTGACTAAAATTTATGACATACATATATACTCTGAAAGCTGAAATTTTAACACTTCCTTCTCTATGATTCATGTATGTATTGTGAATTTTAAAATGCTAAAAGGTGAGAAGGAATGAAAATGAGATGTATTTTTTGTCATTTGATAATCTTATTTCCAGAAAGGAAAAAAGACACTGTAAAAAAAACGATATGTGCTGTTTATGGAGATGATGCCATAGCTGAGTGTAATGTTTCCAAGTGGTTCACTAATTTCTCGTGTGAAAATTTTTATCTGTAAGGCCAAGAACATTCTGGTAGACCTGCAGTTGATGTTGAGTAAATCGAAATGTTGATTAAAAATAATCCAGGTCATGTGACATGGGATATTTGCAGAGATATTCCGCACATCTCGTATGCATGTCATAAGCCATTTGAAAACACTTTGAATGGATTGTTTGCAAAAATGTGCAGCAAAAAAGTGATTGGGAAAACAAAATACACTACTGTTAACAATTTTAAAAGTTGGTTTGCATCTACAGAAGATAATACTATATATCTTGTGGGATTGGAAAGTCAATGTGTATTAAAAACTCTTGCAATATTAGATGCTAAATTAGGACAGGTACTGTTCCCAAATGGACCAATTAAAAGAAGTAATTAATGAAAGCATACTGAACTAGCCAATGAGAAGGGTGTTGTCTTCCATCAAAACAATATCAGACCTTAGGTCTCTTTGCAGACCCAGTAGAAATTGGTACAATCTTGTTGGGTTGTCCTGCTACACCCGCTGTACTCATCAGACCTTGCATCGTTAAATTACCACTTATTTCAATCCCTTGAAAATTCCCCTATTGGAAAGAATTTTAATTCTCTGGAACCCTGTAAAAACCACTTCAATGAATTCATCACCCAGAAAGATGCTATGTTCTAGGAGGATGGAATCATGAAGCAGCCTCAAATATGGAAAAATGTAGTTGAATAAATCTATGTATAAATCAGTGGCAACTCTAGGCCATAAATTTTTGTCAGGCTCATTACAAGCTCTAACAAAATATACTATTAGTATAACTTAGATGCTTTCTTTACTCTAACTGAAATATATAATTTTTAAAAATCTCTGTGCATGAAATAAAAAATACATTTTGGTATTTTAATAATGTTGTGTGTGTGTGTGTATATGTTGTAGCCTCTTTCTATCTGTTATCAGACTCCTCCTAGGGATTTGGCAATGGACCCCCATAACTATATTCTGAAACCAAATTACCCAGGGTACTTGGATAAGCATATTTCATTTTAATCAAGGGGGGGGGGGGGCAGGGAACACAAAACCCCATTGAAAAATTTTTCCCTTTAATTTAAATTAAATTTGAACAAAGAAATGATCCCTATCCAAAATATAGAAGGAGAAAACCAGAAGATGGGGGTCACATTAGCAAGATCAAAATGAGACAATATGGACATCAAGTTGAGCTAGAAATCAAATATCAGTGGGTAGTGCCTTACAATACATATTTATTACTGGGCACATTAATTTTATTTAATTCTTTTTTTACTTTCTTTCTTTCTTTCTTTGTTTGTTTTATTTTTTCTTTCTTTATTATGAACAATATCAACAAAATTTATTTTTGTCTATATTTTGAGGCACAGAGTTAAAACAATTTTGTATTCAGCTGAAGTCAAGAATGAAAACGATGCACTACAAAAAATGTTTGTTGCTTTAAAATAGATATACTTGAATGTTGATTCCCTCGGGATAAGCCCGACAAGCCTGAACCCCAGAGATGCCACTGGTATAAATACTGTCTTTGAAATTCACTTAAACAAAATGCTATGTACTTTTGTCCCAATGCAATAGTACTATTACCACTACTAGTGAAATTGATACTAATATTGCAATTACTGCATGGTTTTTAAAAATTCTTATAATATGGTACAAAGTGGCAATTTCAAATTTAGTTCACATTATTTTTCATTCACAATTGAAAATATTTGACAAAACAGCTCAAAAAAAGCAAACAATGTCTATGAGAAGAACTAAAACAAAACACCTTTTTTGTGAATTTATTACATACACACACACACACAACCACACTCTCATATATATATATATATATATATATATATATATATATATAAGATTTCTCTTCAAATAAATTTTTCCTGCATTTTTTTTTTTTTTTTTTTAAATGGTTTTGAGTTATATTTACTGTAGTTTGAACAATTCCTAGTGGTTTTCAATCTGATTCAAATCCAGATCAATAATTGGAAACATACACTGGTTAGTTCTTTGGAAATTTCTACCTCGATCCATTCTTTCATCATTGTCCATGTTGTCATCGTCGTCAATATCGTCCTCCTCCTCTTCATCATCATCACAGCCACAAAAACTTGGATTCGATTCATCACTCACATAAACTGACATGTCTCGGCCAATCGGGTTAACTGCCCGACCAAACAAGGCTGGCCGTCTAAGATCTCTAAACTCCCAGTTTTCATCATTCTCGTCATCATCCATAGCAACAGCAGTGGTAGTCATTACAGCAGGAACAGTGCTGTCAACTGCAGCAGTAACAGGAGTAGCAACAGCAGTTGCATTGGTGGTGGTAGCAGCAGCAGCTGCAGCTCGAGCAGCTGCTTCCCCTGCTTCAGTGGCAGCAGAGATTTCAGCATCTTCAGATAAAGGATCATCACCATGTTCACTGGCAAGGAAATCAGTTTTGCGTAGAACCTCCAACGAAATAGGCCCTGGGGGCTGCAGGGCTGAAATGCGTGGGGTATTTATAGTTGAAGTTGTCACCAAGGATGTGGACCACAAGCCTGCATTGTCTCCTATCTGTTGCCGCAATCCAGTCCACTGCTCCTAGAATTAAATTAGGAACAATTATTAAATGATTTTAATTTTTCAGCAAAGAACAATCTTTACAAAATTTAATTCTCTGTGTGAGAGTCCTGGAAAGCGGTGCCTATTTTTATTGCTTAAAGAATTCATTGTTTATGAGTAAACCTTCAAATTACAAATGACTCTTACATGATAAATTTTGTATGTTAAAAACAGATGTTATCTAGACAATACATGTGTATGAGTGCCCACTAGTAGAACATAAAACATGCAGTGACTGTAAGCACTTATTAATTTATACTGTCAAAAGGATAGTTACATTTTTTAAGATTAGTTATGTATCAGATATTTTTTATTAAAAACAAATTAATGAAAAAATATTTTATATCAGTCAATAAGGTAAAAAAAATATTTGAGAACAAAGAATTTAATTAATTTATTTAATTTTAATAGACATTTTACATTATATTTCTACCTTAAACATTTTTACTAAGTTTTACTCTAAAACAAATCTGCTGTTCAAAAATTCAGACTCATTTGACAATGTGTTAAAATTACAAATTTGCCACTGCCTTTTTAGTTGACTGGTTGGAAAAGAAACTTTCTTCTGGCTGCTCTGTTGTTTGATGAAAATAACAATCTACTCTCTTTGGGTTGATTTGGACATACAGTGCCATTATACAATGGATATTGTTTCTGTCAATTTTTTTTGTTTGTTTTATTGAGAATCAAGTTGATCTGAACAAGAGTTCAAATAGAAAAAGTGTTATAATTGTGATTCTGCAACTTGAAATTAGTGTGATTATTATATTTTTAGTCAACTTTAATCCCTTCCCTGAAGAATGAATCAATCATACTAGTTAGTCCCCTGTATAAAAGTTAATCTAGTTGAAATGAAAACTTGTTAGATTTTTTTACTAGTGGGTTTAGGATCAGTTTCTTTTCCTTTATTAGTAAAATATCTGGTTATGCAGTTCATAGCTGAAAGTGATTACCAATTTTGATATTAAGTTGCACTAGCTCATTCCGACTTAAGCCTGATGAGTAAAATATCTTCAACCGAAGAGATCTAAAACTTTCTGTTTTCATGGAGTGATCAGTATTGTGAAGTGCAGTTTGTATTCATGTAAAATAATTACCAACAAATATCTCTTTATTAAATGGCAAATTACAGAGAAAATAATGGCATCTATTTACCTATTCCAATGTACAAAGAAAATAAGTTTTATGTTTTTTTTTTTTTTAATGAATTCATCCCAAGTAAGGTGATAATGCCACTAAAATGCAAGGGAGTAAAAGATGATGAGAAGACTTTAGAAGGGACTGGAAACCCAATCCTAAACAGGAAACAAGGGATAAACCTCTACTCCTGTTCAAAAGACCAGGGTGAGTGTGAACCAGATGATAAATGAACTTATCTATTCTTATTAAAAGAAAAAATAAAGAAATAAAAAATAAAATTTTAGAGTTTAGGCAGAGATGTTAGAAGCATAGAGTTGAATTAGACTTTAGAAGTAAGAACAACCTCTACTCCTGTTCAAAAAAACAAGGAGGTGTGTTAACTGAACAATAGGTGAACCTATTTAAATACTAACAGATATTAAAAAAAAAAGATTCTACAAACCTGCTTAACACAACTTTTAGCACTGGAGTCTGGATGGGATACACTGTATGCAGTCTGAAAGAAAAACAAAACATTATTATTACTTTAATTTTTATAATTATTATTATTAATATAATCATGCATCCTTTTATAACAGAAGAAAATCTGTCTTGAATCTTCTTATGACAATATAATCCAAGGGAAGTAAACCTCATAATATGGCATAGAAACAACACAATCTAGATTATCTTATTGCTTTTTCATAGAATACAGTGCATTAATATATATCTAAGAAAAATGCACTATTTAGGTATACTTAAACTTTAGAAAGTTTTAATATTAAGGAAATCACTGCAACCAGTGATGGGATTCAAGGTGTTTGCAATGGTTCACAGAACTGATTTTTAAATTCTCTAGCTACTTTTATTGTGACTGACTGATTATAAACACACTAGTAGAAAAATCTTACCTGCTGTTTACCTAGATTGACACAACAGGGAAAATGTTGTGATAACGAAGATGAGGACATTAGTACAAATGTCTATAAGTTTTTGACAACATTTTCTATAAGTACTTTTATAATTTACTTTTGTTCACACTTCTTTATAATTATTATTAACATCTGAATTTGCATTTAATGACATAAATTTTACTTTGAAATCTCCAAAACAACTGAATTTGTCTCATATTTTAACAAAGAAATAACAACAAAATGATTGCAATACTAATTGCTTTTTTTTTTTAAACATGCAGGATTCTTTAATGGAAATTAAAACTTTTTAATTCTTTGACTGTATTTTTTCTAGCTTCTTCTGCAGATTTGACTTGGTTTATATTTTTGGATGATTATCAATATTTATATTTCCAATTGGTCACATGCAAATCTTACTTTGAAATTCTCCAAAATAACATTTGCATTATATTTCTTTGTTTTGTTTTTCTCATATTTTAGCATTAGTATATTTAGCTAATAGCTGTTGTTACAAATGGTTATTCTCATTCATTAATAATTGTTAGGAATACATTTGTTTTAGCATTGAAAGAACCAACAAACACCTAAACAGAGTGACAAGTTTTTACATGAAAACATTTTTTCTGTTTGTTAACAACAATGAAACAAATGTTCATTCAATAATTTGCCATAAAAATTTTTTAAAAAGCATTAAGAAAATTAAAATATCAAGGAAAATTTCACATCTCTAATTTGCTAGATAATGGATTAAAAAAAAAAAAATACTCTTGTTTAGTTGAAAGCCATTTCAGACTAAATCTGAAATATTGTTTGCTTTTTTTATCAGCAAAAATCTATTGATTTGGCCATATTGGCCTGTTAACACACACAAAAAAGATCTGTTTTTAAAATTATTAAAAAAAAAATGCTTCCCTCATGTGTCATTTTTTTTTAAAAACAGTTAATATAAAGTTTAATTAATTGGATTTTGAACAAATGCTTACCTTTTTGCCTAAAATATAGTTAAATTCATTTTTAAGTTCATTTTTTTAAAATTCATTTTTTAGTTTTTGGTTCTTTGGTTATTCTGTTCCTGACCTTTGAACATAGTTTCTTTCTACCTGGTTACTATCCAATTATCACCTGTTTACACAGTCTAATTTATGTATCAACAGCATATGTCTTGCAAAGTTCAAATATATGAATATACGTAAAATTATAAAAATGTTTTGGTGTATTCATCACTTTTTAAGAATCTAAAATAATTAAACATTGTTTTTTCACAATACTGCCATAAAATTCTTATATTATCAAAAATAATATAAAAATATTTTAGAATACCACCCTTACTAAATGCATAAATTAAAACATTATTAATGAATTTAAAAGGAAAAATAAAATATACTTTAAGATTTTGAAAAGTACTTTAACAATAAATGAAACCGTAAAAGAAAATAATTAAACTCTGCAAAACAAATACAACTCATAGGATTTTTCTTGCTGTTCCTAAGGCCACAATGTGAAAGTTTATTAATTGTGACTATTCAAGGGTGACTATTCTGAAAGATGTCACATCTTCCATACTTAAAATAATCAAAACATTTGTAGACTTGAAAAAAATTCAAAATTCTATTTAAAAATAAATGTCTTTGTGACACAGGGTGCTGGCACTGGTTTGACTTTTAGTTACATAAGAAGTCAAAATAGTCATTTGAGGTGATTTGAAATTAGAAATAAATTGTGAAAACTCACCCAGAGATGTCTTAAATAATTAGGAGAAAAGAAACTGAGAATTAAAATTACATCAAATATATAAAATGAAGTTGATGAGGGAATCAAAGAGAGTTGAACCCTGATGAATTTGGTGAAAAGTCATTAACTTTGAAATTTCTTAAAGGTGGTCTCCTTTCACTGAGAAGGAAATATTATTTGCTTGGATTTCCAAGCTGAAATCTGATCCAAGAGGGACAAATTATTAATACTATGATGCTAAGCCATAAGGTATTTCACATTAAGTGTTGGAGAAATGTTGTTTTGCTGGTGCCATGTGTTTTTTTTGTTTTGTTTTTGGGGGTTTTTTTAAAAATGGACCATGAGATAATGCAGATGAAGGTGGAAATTTTTACATACATCAAGGTCAAAAAGGGGAACGGGGTGCCCAGGAGAATCATTTATATAAACCAGTGAAGCATTTAGTTTCAGGAGTCACCAGAAAGATCTCAGAATGACATACCAAAAATTCTCCATCTCTCAAAGACAAGAGCGCACACACACACACACACACACACACACACACACACACAGTGGATGGAACAGACACACAGACACAAAAGAATGTAAATGTTGCAGATTCTCTGTGGGGCATAAATTGTTACTACTGCTAGATTGCCAAGAGCAGCCAAAAGGGGGAGAACCAAAGCAACCAGAAAACGACCTCAGAAATTAATAGAAAACATAAATTGACACAAGTCTAAGTGTCCAAATATATTTATAACTGATTTTGACCAACACAAAACAATTTAGATTTTAGAATTTATTCATCTCAGTGACCAAAACAAATAACTTGCTTGCATTAATGTAAATGGTGATACTAGGATATAGACTGTAGGCCGGTGGTCTGGTTCAAAGGCAGCAATTTTAGAAATTGGCTGGAAACGGTCAAGGTCACACCGTCAGAGGATGGACAAACAGTACTGCTGCTATCTTTTGGTAAAACATAAAATTGAATTTCTTAGATGTATACTTTACATACTCTGATTGACAATACTGATGGGCTGTAAGTGATACATTATATGACAGAGAATGAGGGCCATATGAAATCTGACCATGAGCCATAATTGGCCTCCAGGCTGGATTTTGGACATACCTGATCTAAATTCTCTGAGAAGCTATCTTTATAAGAAATATATTTTCCTCCTCAAAAAAGTTTGTGTAGAAATTTCATAAAATGAGGTGGAGATGATAGACTTAAAATAATATTTCTACAAAGTCTCTTTATAATAATAATATTAAATTGTATATTAATAAATAGCAGACTGTGGACCTCCAGGAAAATGCCATATTTACTCTGTAAAGATTCTCCGAAAAGTTCTTCAGTTATGAGGAGTTTTGTTGACATCATGCCTCAAGAACAGAATTTCCAGTGACTACATCAAAACACAATAAAAATATTGACTTTTACTGCAAAATTTCCTTTATGCAAATTTATGTTCCCTGTTGATTGCATGAACAAAATTTTTAACCCAAATACCTCAGATTCTATAAAGAAGAAAAAAATAATTTTTATATAAAAACTCCTCCAATCTGTTTTTTTAATAATGACACAAATATTTTGACAATAAAATTTTGTTCATTGTTTCTTTTTTTTTTTTTATAGGTCCTAATTCAAAGCAAGATTAGGATAAAAGAAAAACCCTTTAGCAACTTCAATGTTAACATGTAATGAAAACTCCTAATAAAAGTGCTCTCCCAGATTGGTGAAAAAAGATGATGCGTTACTTGTTATCAACAAGAAACTTGTCTGTGGTCACTCCACAAAATTCATATCCTTATGTATTGAGGGAATTGATTTAAAAGAACAGGAAAGCTATAATGTTGAAACATGAAGAACAAATACAGCTGTCCATTAGAAAAAAAAGAAAAGAAAAAAGATTACCTGCTTTTTCATCGAAAGCAAATTTTACACACACACACACACACACATATATATACATGCTAAATAACTGAAAGAACCAGAGAGAATGCAATAACAACCACTATTGATAAAATAAATGAAAAATAGATAAGTACCACATTTAAATTTTTTAATGCTGTCTACTAAATAAAATCAGTCATTTGCAGGCATATGGTACTACAAATGAAAATGGATTGGACATGGGAGTTAAAATAATTCATCATATTGCAAAGGACATTAAAAATGAAATATTTACAAAAGTAATTCAACAAAAATTAAAACTTTTTATTGCCAATGACAAGGCATGAAAGATTACAAGCTAACAATTTCGAGACAATCATTTTTGCAAAATTTGAAGGTATTGATTTTTCAAATATTCCTTTCAATATGGTTGAAATAAGAGGACAAAGTAGAGAAACTATGGATATTTCTATATTATGAAATTTGTATTGTGTTCAGATGGAGCAAAGTTTACTTGGATATCTTTGACAATGATTCAACATTGTCAAAGATATACAAGTAAACCTTTTTTAAATATTTATTGATGAAATATACAGATTTCACCAATCAAATAAAAAACAAAAGGAACTTATTAAAATTTAAAAGCAATTTGGATTAGCAATCTTAATGATTGGTAAAATTTTCGGACCAAAATAGGTAGATTGCAACTTTACATCATCAGTTACAGTATAATATGCTTATCCAGTATAGTATAAATATTTTTTAAGGAAAAATATGCAGGAATGTTTGGCTGTCTTTCTCAGATATTTTCAGGAAGATTTAGCCATCATGATAAATGTGAAATATCTTTATTGTCAAATACTTGCTCAATTTTAATCTATTAATCTTACCTGTGTCATTTTATGAAAATCCAATGTAGGTCTGTCATAGTCACGTCGCCGTTTCCTTCCCTCTCTGCGATCATGCAGAACGCAGGGCTGTGAACGACAGCGTGGAATGCGTTGTCGTCGTGGTGATGAAGGATTGGACACAGATGACTTACACGCAACAGGAACACTAGGGGTTGAGCCTCCAGCAGAGACAGTCTGTGGTTGTGGTTGTGGTGGCGGTGGTTGTGGTGGTGGCTGCTGTTGTTGCGGCTGTTGCTGTTGGTAGTGGTGGTGATGGAGATGGTGTAGTTGTTGATGGTGGTTAGGATAAGAGGGTTGGTACTGTTGAGTCTGACACACCGGTGCTAGTAAGTGGTAAGGGTGGTGATGATGATGATAATGATAGTGTGATGGTGATGAGAGTAGAGATGATGATGATGAGGGTGGGGAAGGTGAGAAGAATGATGACGGTGAAGTCGATGTCGGCTTACCCATTTGAGACAGTTGCTCCTCAAGCGAAAAGCTACGATGCTTCTGGAACGGCCAGTATGGTGGCTGCAAGGGTGTTTGGCTGTTGGTGCTACCGATAACAGTGGCTGGTGAGGACAAGGAAGATGGGATGCAAGTTGGAGAAGAGCGTGGAGTTTGGGTCAGTGGCACCGGGGCTGCTAAAAGACCACCAATTGTGGCACTCTGGATTTCTGTGTTAATGCGAGGATCAGATTGTGGGGGCACCAAGAGGAAAGATGATGATGAGGAGCATGATGAAGGAGACGAAAATCCAGAATTGCCTCGACTTTGGCTCCTACACAGCCATGGGTCCAATACAGGTTTAAAAGCTCTGCTATCACTATCATCTTCACACCGGCAACCCACCACAGAAACTGAAGCTGGTCTGGGCACAGGGGAATCAGGCGGGCTTTGGAGAGAGCTAGAGGATTGGGTTTGTATCTGGGAACTTGGTTTGCTTGATGCCAATGGTGGTGGGGAAGAAGTTAACATAGTAACTGGCATTTGGCTTGGTGCTACATGAAGTTGTGAAGGGGAAACAGAAGTAGAGGCAGGAGTCGTGACCAAAGCTGCCAATGGGAGAGATCCATTTTGGTTAGTAGAGACAGGTCCAGATAGTCGAGCTGACGAAAACAGATCCCCAAAAGATGTGGGCTGTAGAAGGGACGTCAGTGAAGCAGACATGCTTGTGTTTGGAGAGAGTGAAGACGTTGACAAGGAAAATGGACTTGTCTTTTGGACGTCAAGTGAGGTTCCTTGCCCTGAGTAGTGTAGAAATGGCTGTTGCTGCTGAACTTTTGGAGGGTTACTGGTCTCATTCACAGGTGTAAATGCAATAGGTTTCCATAAAGACGTACAACAGCGGCTGGAATCTGTTGTTTTAAAATGGTCTGTGTTCAGTCCTCCTGTTGACCTCTTAGGCCGGCTGCCGCTACTGCCAGATGGTATGGAAAGTGACCGGCAGTGTTTCTTTTTTGGTGGGTCTGGTGGTGTGCCAGGTGACATATCCGTAAAACTGTCTGTATCACTACATGGAACCATACCAATGACTGATGTTACACCAGATTCATTTAGTTTGTCTGATGCAAAGTTCTCTGTTTGGACATTGCAACAGGGTGATGAAGTGGATGACAATGATACTGAGGCTGGAACAATCAACCCAGAATAAACCAATCGATTTGTATCATTGCTACTGGAAGTGACAAGATGGTGGGGTGAGACTGCAACAGACTGATCTGGTTTATCTCCCAGTCGAAGACCTAGAAGTCCTTGCACAGTGGCTTGCAAGTCAGACCCTTGACCTGAATTGCTTGACCATGTATCCGAACCTTAAAAGAGAAAAATAAGTTTAGCAAGAAATGCCATAAATTTGCACCAACTTAACTATTCCAGTGTTTTATTAATATCCATACAAAGAATATAAGTAGCTAGAATTGAAGCTAGTGACTTTTGCTCAGCAATTAAATACATTTTAATATGTATTATTGATTTATTTTAAATAAATTTAGCAATTTGACAGGTACAGAACTGACATTTAAAAGGAATAATGCTCTCTTTAACTTAATTTTTGGTTTTCAGACTGAAATAGAAAATTCCTGCAGCCAAAAACTATGTTCATATTTTTAAAAATATATCAGCACCTATCAGATTGCCAAATAATTTTGAAAGCAGTCTATTCAAACTGGATGAATAAAAAAAAAAGTCTGATAACCACAGTGGAAAACTAATCTTGTTAATGGAGTCAATAATGCAATACTTCTAGGTATATCCATATAACCAAATTAGTAAACATTCCAATAAAGATACCTACACTGAACACAAATACTACTTGGCTGGTTAGCCATTTGTTTTGTTAGTCCTTTGCAAGGTAAAAAAAAAAGAGCAATTCAAATCAGCAACAATAAAATTTGAAGAAAGATCCTTAAAATGGATGCTAAGTTACACTGAAATTGAATATTTCTCTCACCATCAGAAAATAAAAGACTTATTTTATAAAAAAAAAAAATACAAACTAATATCTGTAAGTTTAATAAATTTTTAATCATAGCATCTATATCACATTTTATAAAGCAAGTCAATATTTCACATTTCATATTGACAATATATTTATATATATCATGTGAATTTCAGCTTAAAATATGTTTTTATTAGAAATATTTCAATAATTTATTTGCCAATGTAGGATTTTATGCAAATTCATCATAATGGAAATAAATACAACGATGGGAAGGATGCCCAGTATTATGTAACACCTGGCAAAGCCCTGCAAAGTGCAGCAACTTAATATGGCAGTGATTTCACAAGTGGTCCGAAGAACTTTCAAAAGATGTTGAGTCATGCTGTCCCAATAGTTGTTTACAGCTTCCTGATCTTTGTAGGTGCAGAATCTAGCATGTGAATAGACCTCTCCACCATGTCCCATAAATGCTCAGGAGAGCTCAGATGTAAGCAAACATGGTGGCCACACCATTCCTCAGAAGTATACAGAATGCTCCTCAAACCAATTATGAGCAACTTGCTGCTCAGTGACACAATTTAATATCCTCCTGGAACAAACCATCATTGTTGGCATACATGGAGTCTGAAAATGTGTAAATAGTCACAAAAAAAAAAAAAAAAAAAAAAAAAAAAAAAATATGCAACTTAGCAGTCACTAATCAATGACCCAGCCGTGCTACCTGAAAACAACACACTCAAATGAGAAACAAAATATTGTAAAATTATTCAGTAGAGATCACAGAACAATAAAAAAAAAAGAAAAAAAGAAATTGCAAAGAAAAGTAAAAAAAAATAACTTTAATAATGTTACAACTCCACAAAAAAAGAAAAAAAAAATTACTTGTAAAAAATCACAAGATAAAAGAATATTTTGGGAAAAGGTGACTAAAGTCAGAGTAAACAAGTATGTAGTATTCTTTAGGTAGCATAGCACACAAAATGAAAGATCTGTTTTTCTTGTCTTATCCAAACAGCATAGCATAAGATATCATTCCTAAGAAGTACAATTTTAAGAGTATAAAATAAAAAAGATACTCCAATTTTTAATTCAATGAAGAAAAAATATTTTTAATTATTATTCTAGCAGCTATTTTTAGTTCAAGGATAAATCAATAAATAACTCAATTCAAACTTATCTAAAGAAAGCAAACATTAATGTAGAATTTCATAAGAAAATAACCCTGTACTTTTTAAGGTTTTATTGTGAGATTATATATATATATATATATATATATATATATAAAAACATATCTTTGTCCTGACTTGGACATAAGGCCTTAATTATGCCCCATTCACTGAATCCCATCAAGCTTTGACCTGTACTTTGTACCATGTGAGATCCAACTCTTTCAAATCAGTCATTACTCTCCTTCGCCAAATGGTTTTGGGCCCACTAAACTACTAAAATGTATAGCACATATAACTCAAAGAGAAAACAATGACATAATCAAGATGTTGACTTTCCACACAACTCCAAATACAAAGTTAGGAAGGAAGCTCCCATGAATACTGGAAAGAGCAATAACAGCTACTGGACTTGAAAAACCTATTTTCCTGAAAGATCTTTTTAAGAGAAAGAGTTTATAAATTTCAACCAACAACAGTACTGGTTGATCAGTTATTGAATGTCAAATGTTTCCCTATAAGGAAATGGCTAATATTACCATTCTTTCTCTTTCCAGTTAGGGTCCATAACAGAGCCATTTTAGGTATTCTTTCAGTAGACATCCTCAGAAATGGACTGGGTCATCATAACTTCCATTGCTTTAAAATTAGGAGACATATTCCTATTTTGTGTCTTCCTATACAGTTCCTCTTTAAAGTTCTTGTTTGGCTAGTATGAGAATTGTTTTGTAGGCAGCTCTTGTAGAAGATATTAACCTTTTTAATGTCTTTCTTTTGCCATACAAAAGGAATTACTTTATCACTATGTTATATACCATACCCATGAACACTAATGGGTGTGTCCCAATCCCCATAAATATGTTAGACACTATTGTAAGTGGCAGTAATATGCCATCTAAGTAGTCCACCACTAGAAGAGGTTTACCTACTTCACGCTGCGGGTGTGTATTTTATTCTGTTGATGTTATAAAGATTACCATTTCATTTCCAACCTGTTTTGCCTATTCCTCGTTCAGTAACCTTTTCTAGGTTACAACACACTACTAAGTTTTTAATTCTAATTTAAATTCTAAACTTTTAGTGTTACAAAAACAAAAAAGGAGTTATGATTGATATATGAAAAGCTTACCTCCACCGGTTATAGTTGCTGGCATTTTCTGTGGTGAGGATGGATATATCTGGGATGAAGGTGCAGAGACAGACACATTGCAGATTTGAGAATCCTGGTAGATATATATATATATATATATGAAAAAGAAAAGAAGAATGAAAACAAAATATAACCAGGAAAAAGAAATTGCAAGTACTATTAATATTCAGATTAAAGAATTTCATCAAGATTATCAACCACATCACATCCTTGATGTTTCCATTAATACATTATCATGTCTATGTATTTGCAAAATTTAGAATAGTCTGGCACAAGGCCATTATCATAAGCTACCCTGTGAAGACTGCATTCTCTACACATTAGTAATAGTCTATTAGAATAGCTCACTAACCCCACAGTGATGTTTAGGTCATCATACATAATTGCCATGTTTAGCTTTCAAAATTCAATTATAATTTATTTTCATTGCAATATTAATAGGAATCATTAATTTAATTTTTATATAGAATGCAAGAAGCTGCTTATTAAACAAAAGTTAAGATATGATAGTAAATACATTCCTGAAGCAAAATTGGATAAAATAAAAGACCAATAATGTAATATTTCCTAATGCTGCACAATATTAGCACAGTGGTATTTACTAGTTCTTTTAAAGAGTATGAAAACTTAAATATTTTACTTTAGAATTCTAAGCTTCCAGTTCCAGAACTGAAGCAAACACTGCAATAGTTGAACTTTAAACTACCTGACTTGCAACAAATCAATTGAGACTGCATGTCACATTAATTGCTAGCCTCTCCATCAACTGAGGATGCATTCATAACAGTTGCATACATCAGTTTCTTTACACATTTTTACATTTCATTTTTAAGTTATATTTTTAAGGTCTTCAAAATATTGTCAAATTAATGTTTCTAAACTCAAGATGTTTTGCTTGCATTAAAAGTAAGTTTCTAAATCTAAGATATATGACTGAATCCTAAATCTTTCCTCATCAACATCCATGAAATGAAGTAATTTAAGATCATTTAAAATCAGTTCCTAAAATTTCATAATTAAACGATTTGCATACATCACTGCTTTTTTGCTTATAAAAAACTAAATTTAATCATACAATAGGCATAAAAATATGATTAATCATGAACAAAGGAAAATTGCAATGGTCTTTCACTTATCCAATCCAAATTGATTCCCTTTTTCTTCTATGAGGCTACTAATCACAGGGTAATACTTTTAAAAATGGAAGCTGACTTAAAGAGAATAATTATAGGCAAAATAAAAATTATGCTTATTAAGAAATACATTTAACCCTTTTGAGTCCCCTGGGACATAATTGTCCCAAAAACGCATTGATATGGGATAAAGCGGACATGTCCCATTGCTATATTTATAATAATACATTCAATAATATTATTTTTCTAAGTCAAAGTCATTTAGATATGTCTACTGAAACAAACAATAATATTTTTTGCTATATATATCAATTATGTGAACGTGGACGTTTAAGTTAATCATTAGATAAATTCTTTGCATTGTTACTAGGAAAGCATTTGGAATAAATTTAAAAAAAATATAAAATTATATGACAAACTTGAAAGTCTTTAAAAAGTCAAGAGCAAGTGTGAAATAATTTTTAAGGAATAAAGAATTTTCATTTTGGTGTATTCTTAAGCTCTTCAATATTTGAAAAATATTTTAGAAGAAATATCAGGAAAAAGATGTTTATAAAAATGCTACAGCAATAATAACAGAAAAAGAAGGAAAGAAAATCAAAGTTAATAGGACCTTCATTGTATGGACGTAACCTGGAGGATTTGCTACTGGGGCGATGGCATCATCTATCAGTCCTTGCATCTTTAATTTGTTGGTAATGAAGGCTATCATGTACCGGTTGGCCCCACCCAAATCACTAGCACTATCAGTAACCTCACTGCTGCAACTTCTACCATTAGGGTTACCTTGACTGTTAGCCTCCCCATCAACTGAGGCTGCATTATAATGCCCTGAAGATGAAGCAGCTGGGAATTGGTAATGCTGCTGTTGCTGCAGCGGAAAAGTCTGTGGGGACATTGAGAAACAAGATTTCTGTTGTTGCAGAATTGGGTTTTGGATTTGAGGTGATGATGAGGGAAATGATGATGATGATGATGATGATGTTGAGCTCTTCAGAGTAGAGTGATTTGTCAGGGATAGAAAAGAAAAGCTGATGTCACTTTGCTGCCCGGGGGGCATAGGGTTTTGTGCTAGTTGCAATACATTCTGATTTTGTACTAATGTTGAGAGGGCAGTAGTAGTACTAGTAATTGTAGTAGTAGAAGTAGTAATAGTTGTGGTATTAATGGTAGAAGAATCACTGATTTTAGATCTGCAGTTTGTTGTCATAGTCAAATGTTGGCAAACTGGCACCCGTTCTGGCAGTGAATACAACTGTTGCTCCAGCAGTTGCTGTTCTTTTGACGAAAAAAGAGGGGTTTGTTTTGAGTTTTTAGACTGTGCCAGGCATCGTGGCCGCGAAAGAGAGTCAGAGAATGATGTGGTAACTGCAGGAGTAGCATCTTTTCTGTTAGGTCCCTGTGAACACTTGATATTAGTTGATAGTGGTTCATCCCGCTCTGAATAGGACCGCCCTGTTGAGTAAGTCTGTTGCAACTGTTGCCGGCCACCAATGTCTAGCATCCTAGGCTGGGAGTGCTCACCACATTGGCTCTGGCTGACCGGCACAACCGCCGTAGCCGTAGTTGATGTGGCAACAGCGTTGGCGGTGGCCGTAGTTGCTGCAAAAACAATGCTGTACCCCAGCAAAGCCTCCAACAGCAACAGCAGGGATGGCTAAAGAAGGGAGTTGCAACGGTAAAGAGCTCCGAAAATTTGGTGATGGAGGTGGTAGCTGTATCTACACAAAATGTAGCCATCCAAAGGTCAGCAGGTATTAAAAATTGACAAATATATTCTTTCTGGGATCACAGGATCAGTGATTAGCTGAAAAGAATAAAAGAAAAAAATGTCGTCAAAAGATTAAAACCAAGAAAACAGAAGAAAAGTCTGTATAAAAAAATATGAAAAAAAATAAGAAGAATATGAAGAATAATAAGAATACGAAGAAGAAGATGAATACGAAGAAGAAGAATGTATGTATAAAATTTTCAATGAATTTGAGTTTTTCGCACAGTGGTTTCAAACAATACTAAATAGTTATCACTCACTAAGTGACTGGATACCTGAAGAATTTTTAAGTCAATCTAGAACAAGTAAAGAAACAAATATAATTTTTGTGTAAACAGCCATGAATTAATTATATTTTAATGTAACTATTTCAAACAACAATCATTATAAAGTATTAAAGGATACATTTTAAATAAGTCTGAGTTGTTCTGTATTCCATTCAATCTTTTACTATTAAAATTTATCTGTATATATTTTTTTTTTAAATTTAATATTTACCTCCTTAGGAAAAAGAAAAAAATTCTTTGGCAAAGTTTAAAATAATATCTTGAAAATATTTTACAGATATGAGCTAAATTACAGAGAAAACAACTCCTTTGTAAAGAAAGAGTTGAATAACTATTTCACACAAACCCATTTGATTAGATTGTTGAAAACTATAACCCCCAATATCATAAAATATAGCTCACCAGTTCAGCTGTTCACCCCCTCCTTTATATTTCTAAGTCAGACATCATAAGATACAAGTAGTACTTCAAACACAGGATATATTCTAAGTCAAATTAAATAACAAACTACTTAACCAGAAAAAAAAAACAAAAAAACATGTGAGTTTATCTAGAAATCAGTTTTATATTATGTTAAACATTTCCTTAAATTCCAAAGTCAGCCTTTTTTTTCCTGAAAATTAAAGAAAAAATGTATTCTAAAGTTCTATATAAAATTTTATCAAAACAAATTAAGTAAAGGTTTCCAGTAATAAAGAAACAGTTACAAGTAAATGCAAACAATATAAAATCTGGTAAAATCCAATTTTGTAATAGTACATTGACTGCACAATCACAGTGCCTAGATGTGTGCCTTAAATGTTTGAAGTGTTCAGATAAGTAAGGGATATTTGGGGTCAGCAACCCCCAGCCTGCTCTAATTACAAAAAAAATAAAAGATCAAAATAGAGACATAGTTAAAAAAAATAAAAATAAAGTAAAATAAAAAATAAAGTAGAGAGTCAGAAGTATGTGTTTAATTTTTCTTTTTATTTCTTTAAATGGTGGTAGCTGAGGGTTAGTTTTAAGTCTTTAATCTATATTTTCTTCAGGTGCAGAAAAATAGTGAAGGTGGTCACACAGTAAATATGCAGCCCGAGGTGTGCACAGATTGAATAGGGTAGAGATTATTAAGGATGGAGGTGTTGAGCAAGTTTTTGGGCCGACAGGTAATGATTAACCTAGGTTGAGCCTGACCGATATATACAAGCATGTGTTGTTCATTTGATTAGTAGTCTTCAAGGCAAAGGCAAGGTGGGCATGGAAGGTGATGAAATAATAAAGAAAGCAATCGTGGAGAAATTTAGATTTGGGGTTAAAGAAAAGTGAGAAGGAAAGGGAGTAAGATGGCTTGGAAAAGAGAGAGAGAGAGCAAGAGAAAAAGAGAGTGAAACTATAGACTGATTTAAAGAAAAACAGAACAATGGAAAAAAAATTCCTACACAAACTAATGTGTACAAAAATAAAAAGTTTAAATATGACCTACCATCAAAATAACAAGTAGCAAAATGATGAGGTTAAATAGCTTGTCAATAGTCAATGACTTATTTCAGTCTTTACTAGGACACAGTCATCCATGTGTCTATCATTATCAGTATCCAGCTGCCACACTAGCCTTTGTCTATCAACCAATCCTGACTCCCGCCATCCCCTAAAACATTAGACTTTAATTTTTTTTCTAAATGTTATTCACAAACACTTCTTTTTTTCTTAAATCCTGAAATACTGAACAGCTCAGACTTCAAAATCTACTTAAGTTTGAAATTCAATAACTATAACTATGCCTTGATAATCATCTTGAGTAAAGGGATACCTTAGTTAATTTATTTTGCAAGATTAAATTATTGGGTTTCTTATCAAATGCTCATTAAATTTCAAAATAGGAAAAGAAAATTTCTTCTAAGAAAATCATTCAAAAACTGTCTACCAAGACTTTACTTTCTATACATTTTTAATTAATTACAAATAATTAATTACAAATAATTAAAACCCTAATTTAAAACATACTATTGTTAAGAGTTTTCACAAATGTCTAGATATCAAAAGCCAAATTATATAAATAAAATTAAAAAAGAAATACTTATCTTAAGCCATTTATCATGGGATAATATTTAGTAAGCATGTCTGGTAAGTGATTATGAATATGTAGGGAGTTTGATCTTCACTTGGTACTTTGCACTCTGTATTAGACTAAGTCAAACTTAGTAAATTGTGATAATAAATCACTTGAAAAATAAGAAAATTCACAAGGATTTTAAGCTGAAAGTGAAATTATAACCACAATTTTTACTACTTTAACATACCTTTGAAATTTCAGGATGCTTCACAAAGATATAGTAACTTAATTTTTAAATATTTTGATAAAAAATCACTTAATGTATATTTTTATTTTACTCAAGTTAATACAATAAATAGGTTAAAGTGACTTAAAAGTTCATTAATGAGTCCAATCAGTGTATCTGAAAACTTTTTAGAGCAACCAATGTACATCACATGGAAATTTGGCAGAAAATGAAATTACTGAAAGTAAGTAATAAGACATTGTTAAATTTGGGCATCACAATGTTTTTCTTCCCTCCTTCACCCCAGGAAGAAGACTGCATTTTTGATGAAAAAAAATAAAAATAGTGAAAATTTTAGTGAAAATAAAGACATTGAATTATTTTTCTATATGTAAAATAATACCAGTTTCTCCTGTCAAAACTTCAGTCTTTACTTGAGTTACCTGTACAGAATTTGCTGCCATTACAAGACATACATTATTTATTCATTTCTTCAGTATTCACTCACTTCTGTGGATTTCATTACTCACTGATTGTAAATCAAAAGATGGAGATAATGGTTCACATGTAATTTTACAAAAAGCAAGTGTAATTTTGTAGTATTAGTGACTGAAAGTTTTAGGCTGAGACAATTCTCTTAAATACAGAAGATTTGTTCTATAAAGGTTTCATTTTCAATGAATCATATTGAAACTTGCTCAGAAAATCTTTGTGTAAAACTTAAAAGCATGACTTGTAATAATAAAGGTATCAGCATTTTGAAAATTATTAAAACTTCTCACACGATTACCATTTTAGAATGCCATATATTACAGTGTATACATTTTGTTCTCTTACCAAATGTTTAATTCTATTTTTAGTTTCATAAAGAAAAATTTTTCCACCCCATTTCAAAATGTTCAACTGGAAGACATTAGCCTAATAATATCATAATAAATGTAGATGAAATTTTATAGTCAGCTTTGTGACACACAAATACAAGTGTTTTCCTTGGAGAAGTTATTTATTACCTCCACAATGGAAAAAAAAGTCAATTTTAGTGTAGCATTTCAACAACAGTAATGAGTTTACTAATCATTACACTATGGCAAAGTGATCTTTTGGATCTCAGAGACTGGGTAGTCACATTGTCATCTTTGAAGACTGACAATGAGTGTAACAGCATTTTAATGTTACTATTCATTGTATAGTAATCATGAGAGAGAAGTTTGCCAAATTGTTTACTTATCCACTTTCATGACATGTAAGCAAGGAGACATTTTTTGCCAAGATATGAATCAGACCAGAGAGAGAAATACCTTTTCCAAGAGCATCAGTACTAAATGACCACAAGGTACTAAGTGACCACAAGCAACCGTACTTGGAATTTGATCTCAGTTTATTGATTGTTTTTCAGCCTGATAATCATTACACAACCTCTAACTTGCTGATGTCACTTTCATGATAATTGTCTGGAGAAAGGCATAAATCTAAATCTCCCTGAATCTTTATTTCATACCAATTATTACAGCATTGTCATTGGCTTAACATTATAATTGACAGGTAGAAAAAAAAAGTTTGGGGGGTGCGGCTACACAAGTTTTTCTGACTAAATGATACAATCCTAAATTTTAGTCCCCTAAATCAGGACTGACAGTGTAATTAAAAATGTGGCTACACTGATGATACAATTTGGATTGCAATTAAATTTTAATTTTTTTTAATAATTCTGTTTCTCATGCTGATAATTTTTTAGCAATGTCACATCGACAACTTCCAATCGGATAATACTGAAATTTTCAAATACATTGAAAAGAAACAAAACTCCCTGAACAGAGTTTAGGATTATTTATTCTTTTCATCTTAATAAATTATTATCGACATATTGGCAAAATGTATAATCATACAAACATGACATATAAACTTCTGTGAGAAAAAATATTTCTCTTGTACATAGTTGACACTTGATTTCTCAAATGGTTGTAATCAGGGCCAGATTTAGGCCTTAAGAGGATCCTGGGGGTAATAGAATTTGAGGGCTCCTTCATTAATGATTTAGGAACTCATCCAATTTATTTCACAATATTTTTTATCCAAACTTTACATCCTTCAGAAATGTATCTAGAATGAAAGGCCTACGTTACACTGAAACTCTAGTATTCAAATTCACTAGCAAAGCATCCTAAAAAACACAGTTGATAAAGAAGAAAATTATATCTGAAAATAAACACGCCTCCTCTGTTCTTATATCTTTATTTATTATTTTTTTTATTAGTTTTATCAGGGACCTGAGACTAGAGGGCCCTTTAAGGCCCCACTAATCTTGGGGACATACTAGTATATACGTAAATCCAACACAGGATGCCATCCTCTGTCAGAATTTTATGTCTGAATCCAGAATTTAGGTAGAAATTAATGTAAGAACTCTACTTACATTTCCCATTTGCTAATGGAGACTGATAAAACTGCATCCAGATAATACCTATTATAAATTAAATTACCTACCAGTACTTATAAGTAGGTATCCTTTATCTGGAAGGAGAAGAGAACAAGAATCCAAAAGTATAAATATAGAAATATGCAAAGTGCAGAAAGGCCACAACAATATTTCAGAAATTTCAAGAAAGACTCATCAATTTGATTCAATGGTAATCTTCAACAAAAGCCAAAAATGTAAAACTAAATATCAGTTATGTGCCATGCATGATACATGCTTAGGCAATCATATATCTTTCGATACATGACTGATGAGGCAGATTTTTTCCCACAGTAGGTTGCCATTTCTTTCTGTGCTAGATCAGTTGCCATCCAAGGCTATAGAACCCAGTCTCTCCTGCTATTTACCCATGGCTGGGGAGAGAAGAAGAGGTTCTATACCTTTCCCAAGGGTATTAGCACATAAGTGAATGTAATGGATTTGTCTGGAATTCGAACTCGGCTCTCCGATTCCTCAATCCAGGCTACTACCCATTACTCCACCAGTTGAAGTTGTGTGTGTCGAGGGGTAGTGAATTATACTACATTAAAAAAAAAAAAAAAAAAAAAAGTAATTCTTTCCACTTGCAAATTATCTTGCTCTGATTTTAGTAAATAAAAGAATAACCAAAGTTATTGTTTTATTTATTTATTTTTGTTTGTTTGTTCATAGTCTAAGGTAGAAGCAAATATTTCAGTATTCTCTGATTGTTTTTTGGTTTCATATTGTTGTTTAAGAGTACATTTAGGCATTATAATTGATTTTCAACTAAGAGTATGAAATTTTAACTGGCTTTAACCTTTTAATAAGGTGCTTTACAATATGGACCAAAAGCAGATAACTGGAGGTATGAAAGAGTGACCTAATTGAGCCAATTATATCTATTGAAAGAAGATTAGTCAACTATTGATTCTGGGTACTTTAATAGTTATTTTCAGGTACTGTTCATTCCAGACACATTAGTATAAGACAATGAAGTTAAATAAAGCCGGTTAAAATTTCATACTCTTAGTTGAAAATCAATTATAATGCCTAAATGTACTCTTAAACAATATGAAACCAAAAAACAATCAGAGAGAATACTGAAATATTTGCTTCTACCTTAGACTATGAACAAACAAACAAACAAACAAAAATAAATAAAACAATTAGGCATTGATGAACAGCTGTAACTTATTCCGATTAATGAAAGAGTAGTCTCGATATTCATAAAATTTAGTTTAATAAAGTACACAGCTAAATATAGAGAAATGGGTATAGGTAAGCCATGTTACCCTAACTTTCCATGTGGAAAGAATTTCACTGACTTAAAAAAAATAATCAATATTCAAAATTATTGTTTATTATCTGGGTTTCAGCACCTAACCACTGATACCAGTGAGAAATATGCCATAGCATCGGCCCTAAGAACATCAAGGAGAGTAATCTAAGTAAAAAAATTAATGGCATTTATAGATGAATAAGAAAAAAAAGCACAGAAAAAAACAACTCACCATCCTTATCTGCACAGATTCCTTGAGGATTTACACCAAATGCCTAAGGACCAGTGAAGAACAGTTTTGTTAATCTGAAATGTACAAGCAAAAAAGAAAATAAAAATTCCACACATTTTATATTAATTTACATATTTCTTTTGGCTAAAACAATTTGATTTCCACCAGGAATAAAATATATATTCAAGATAACTGATTTTCACTGCATTCTAAATATTCCCAAATGTACCTTAAAAAAAAAACAAAAAAAAACTTGTTAAACTGTCTTGGAAAAAAGTATTTAAATATCTAGGTGTTTATATAATCTATATGATTAGGCAGGATTTATTAAATAGAACTTGTATAACTACTAATGAGTTATATATATGATAAAAATATAGTTTTAAAGTATTTTATATTTGTGGGTAAAACTGCTCATTATCAGGGATAGAGCATATATAAATATAAAAGTTGACACTGAAGTCAACACCGAGCAGCCACAGTCTGTTTCATGTTTGAATGCAATCTTCAGACCTGTGTGTTCTTTCACACATACATACATACATACATACATATTTATATATATCTCCAATTGAAACCAAGTTCAAATTCAATCATTGGTGGAGGAGTTAGGTAATTAAAACAATTACAATGATTGGAACCAGGTTCCAGCTTTGCTTATTGTCACCCAATAACTTTACTGCTATGCTACCAGTCTCCTTCAGTCATTTTCTGCATTAACAAAACAAATGCTACTTAACAATTTTTTTTAGATATTTGTTGGAGCAATTTTTGATATCTTACTTATTATAAAACACAGATTGTGTGTGTGTGTGTGTGTCTGTAACGTTTATATATTGGATCGAATTTCCTACATTTTTCAACCAATTTCAACAAAACTTCACAGGACTACATAAAATTACCTTGTGGTGGTTCTAACAGTGCCAAAAATGGGAAAAATAGAATTGTTTTTGCACAAAATCAATTTGAAAACACGATTAAGAGACATCATGAAAATGGAAGGGGGACAACTCACATCGGGTTGTTTGTGTGTGTGGGTTCCTTTAAATATGGGAGCGGATTTCCTATATTTTTCAAAATATAAAACAAAACTTCACTATTTTTTTTTTACTAGTGTTTCTTATTCTCTTGCACACTTTTTTTTTTTTTATTTTAACATTCAGAATGCTTTAAAATTCCATTTACAAGACAATTATTTATAATAAAATTCTATTCAATTGGGAGACTCATGAGGGATTGAAAACAATGTTTTTGTTTGAGTTTGACCAATTCAAAAAAAAAAAAAAAAAACTAATTAAGACATGCGTGTCCGTCAACCTTAAACAATAATCTAACGATCTTTACTGATTGTACGATACAAACATCGGATAAATTCTTTATCTTTAGGAAAGATAATGAAATCTAAACATACACAAGTCCTAACTAAAAATAATAACCGAACGGGGAAACTACTTTAAATACACATGGTGTCCAATTTTTTACTGTATTCAATAAGTAAAAATCATAAATTGTAAAAGATTATTATTACAGAAAGGCTACTAAATGAATAAGATTTGTTAGATCATAATTAATAAACCCAAATAAAGTTAATATTTTTTGTATTAGAAACGAGTGGAAAATATATTCAAATCAGAATTCTAATTATGAACCGCCACAAGCAAAATATGCAATTTTTTTTACTGTATTCAATAAGTAAAAATCATAAATTGTAAAACTAAAAGATTACAGAAAGGCTACCTACATTTTTCAACCGATTTCAACAAAACTTCACTTTTTTTTTTTGGCATGTAGTGTTTCTTATTGTCTTGCACACTTTTTTCTTTATTTTTACATTCAGAATGCTTTAAAAATTCCAATTCCAAGACAATTGTTTATAATAAAATTCTATTCAATCAGTAGACTCATAACAATTGAAAACAATGTTTTTGTTTGAGTTTGGGTTTGACCAATTCGTAAAAAAAAAAAAAAAAAACTAATTAAGACATGCGTGTTCGTCAACCTTAAACAATAATTTTTGTCAATTTTATTTTTCAGTCTTTATGATGGTGGATACTTGATCTATCTCTTACTGTTATATCCCCGGGCAACGCCAGGCTCTACTGCTAGTTCTATATATTATGCATTGAAAAAGAAAAAACAAGAAAAGGCAAATTGCTAGTAGTTAGGAATGCAAGCATTATTGACAGAATTGGGCTAGTATACATATAATCCTTAATTCATTATGCCTACTACTTAGGAATGATCAAACTACATTGACTAGAAGGGGACAGGAGATAATCTCCCACCACATGTGGCATAGCTTATCCAAGTTTATCTGAGAGTGTTTAATATAAAAAAACAATATTTTCAGTTAGTGGGTTTAATATTAAAGACTGAGAAATTGAATTAATTTTTATAAAGGATATTAAAGTTTTTAAGGAATTGGCTACTTTTTTTTATTTTAGCTTAAGACTTTATTGAACAAAGATTAGTGTAAAGATGATTCAAATAAATAGGTCTTTCATATCAAAGGAAAAATACATATTTTAATTAGAACCAACCACAGGTAAAAAGACCAGGAAATAGAAATTTGCACTGCACCAAGATAGTAAATTGAAACAGGTTTATTTTCTCTCATTCTGCTACAATTCTAACAATGTCAAAATAAAATAAACTAGCTTTAATGTTGATAGCTTAAGTCATGTAAAAATGGTTAGTAGTTCTAGAAACAGCGAGAACAAAATAATTATTTATGATTAGTGTGTATTTGGACAGAAAGTCAAAAAATAAAAACGTGAGAAAAAGCATAGAAAATTCTTTCAAAAGTTTTAATGATTTTAAATGATAAGCACCTGCTTGTAGTGCAGTAGCTAATATGTTGTTTTCACAAATCATTTATAATGGTGCCTTCACTGAATCTGTCTTGAAAAAATAAGTTTTTCTTTCAATGTGTGACATGTTTCAAGTTTCCCAGGGAATTTATAAATAAAGATAAAATTTTAAGCAAAAAAAAAAAAAAAAATTATTAGAATATTTTAAGGAAATAAAACATTAGAAATGTAGCAATTTATTTCTTAAATTTAATAAATTCAATCCATGTTTCTTCTCTTTGCACATCTAACAACTTAGCTTTCAAGGCAAACAAGTTGACAAAAAGAAATTATTTTAACCTATACTCTCTTCAGTACCTGTCTACAAAGAAATAATTTAATACAAGATCTTTTCAGAGTGACAAATCAACAATAACAAAAAGACTATTTTTAAAATAATGTCAACCAACAACTTTTTTCTTGTGTATTCTGACTTACTGGCTTCACAAAACCTGACCCCCAAACCATAAAGTAATGTTTTTTAAAACAATTTCTTCTTTCTAAATATAACACACTACTTTCAATCTATGTGGTCCTTTATGAAAGAAAAGTAATGGGAAGCATAACAGATATGTTAGCATTAGTAAGATATTTTCTAATGGAGAATTATTGCTTTTTTATCACAATACAGACTAATGCAGTAATTCAAGTCAACTATATAACAGACCATATCAATTACATTTATGAATCAACATTTTTTGTCTAATCTCCTAACAACTGTGCCCATATGAAGCAGACAAAATCTTTTCAGTTTTATTCATTTACGTTTTTTTAATTTTAGTGTTTTCCATCTCCTCCAAACTGAATTACATATTTAGACAAAATTAATAGTTTTAATGAAAAAAAAAATATTTATTTTAATTTAGAGAAAAATATATTTAAGATAAGTAAGAATAATGACAAAGATTTTATTTTGTATTCACTATTATCCCAATTTTGCTTCAGAGAGATTAACAGGATTTTTTTCTAAGGAAAAAAAAAAAAAAATTAAACTAAACTCACCTTCTTCCCATAAGATCAGAAATTGAAAATCTCTCAGGTTTTCAAAACAAGAAAATAAACACATCCATTTTAAGGATATCAGACAAAGAAAAGGAAAAAAATAAAAATAAAACAAGTACTGGAGTAAAAAAAGAGGAAGCAACATGCTATTTAATGGACAAAATAAGAGCTACTGAAAACTTGTCCAAACAAGTAATGGTTCTCATATAGAAGTGTTTTGAATACAAATATAAGGTCACAAAATGCAAAATAAATATTCTTTTATCTAGTATTCATCATGAAGGTGGCATTTCTGCTTACCAACAATTAATGAGATAGGCCACCAGTCATTGCCCTGAGAGATATTTAATGAAAAAAAAAAAAAAAAAAAAATCACCAGCTTAAATATCAAATTTTTACATAAAAACTGAATTATGTTATTTTCTTACAAAAATGGTTTACCTATTATTTAAAATAAAATTTCCAGAGGGGGAAAATATTGTGTCATTTGTACTTGTCCATAAGATAGGCCAAAATTTGTCCAAAAGCCACAACATACAATATATTCATTATTGAAAGAAGACATAGAAAGTTTGGAATCTTCTTAACCACAAAAAAAAAAAAAAAAAAAAAAGTGTCAAAAGGATGGTTTTTCCCTTGACACTGCTATTATTTTAATTACCTTCACTTCTCAGCAATGTTTATCGTTTTAAAAAGTGATGATTAGAATTGTAATAAAAAAATGAAATTTATACATTTTTTTTTAATTCTTGAGAATTTACAAGAATAATTTTATATTTACAACATTCTAAAAACTAATACAATTGTATTAAAACTAATGCAATGCAATATTTATCATTTACCAACTTATAGAAAAATAAATATCAAAACAATTTTTTATTCATAAATTTACTAAATTACCAAAATATAAGAACAAACTATAAGGAAATCCTTATTATTTATTATTTTATAAAGTTCAAATTGATTGGCAATTAACCAATGTTTTGCCAACCATTTCAATAAGCAATATTGTAAATAGTGTTAATTATTTTTATTGCCATTTCTCAAGAGCAAAGAAATTGTATAAATTCACTTTCAGGTGTTTGGGTTTTGTTAAAATTCTAATCATCACTTTTTAAAACAAACACTGCTGAGGGGCAAAGGTAGTTAAAATAATAGTGGTGTCAAAGGGAAAACCGTCCTTTTGACACTCCAATTTTTGGTGAGTACAAAGGTCCAAGATT